CTTGAACATGGGAAGCAGAGGTTGCAGTGAGCTGAGATCATGCCACTGTACTCCAGCCTTGGCAACAAAGGGAGACTCTGACTCAAAACAAAAACAAAAACAAAAAAACTCACCAAATAAGAAACATATAGTTAGGGCTGGGCACAGTGGCTCACACATGTAATCCAAACACTTTCAGAGGCTAAGGCAGGCAGATCACTTGAGGTCAGGAGTTTGAGACCAGCCTGGCCAACATGGTGAAATCCCATCTCAGGCAGAGTTATCAGAATGGCTAAAAGTTTTTAAAGTTGGCCGGGCATGGTGGCTCACACCTGTAATCCCAGCACTTTGGGAGGCCGAGATGGGTGGATCACCTGAGGTCAGGAGTTCAAGACCAGCCTGGCCACCATGGTGACACCCCATCTCTATTAAAAAAAAAGTCTTTAAAGTTACAAAACCAAATGCTAGCAAGGATGCAGAGTAAGTGGATCACTTATACATTGTTGGTGGTAATGTAAAATGATACTTTTCAAAATCGTTTGACAGTTTCTTGTAAAACTAAACATGTGGTTACTATATTATCTAATTACACTCTTGGGCATTTATCTCAGAGAAATGAAAACTTTACATCACATAAGACCTGTACATCACATAAGACCTATTAAATATTAATAGTCACACTGGAATCAGCCCAGATGTCCTTCAACAGGTGAATGGTTAGACAAACTGTAGCATATTCATACCATGGGAGGAGGAAACAGATTCTCCCCCAAAGCCTCCAGAAGGAATGTAGTATTACCCATACCTTGATGTTAGCCCAGTAAAATGATGAACAGATTAACTGTATTTTGAAATAATTTCAGACTTACAGAAGAATTGCGAAATAATACAGAGAGCTCTCATAACTCTTCACTCAGCCTTCCATACGTACACAACCATAACATAATTATAGAAATTAAAGATATTAATATTAATGCAGTATTATTAACTAAGCTTCAGTATTCAATCAAATTTCATCAGTTTTTCTCCTAATACTTTTTTTTTTTTTTTTTGGCCAAGATCAAATCCACAATTTTCATTTACCTGTCATGTCTGGAGACTAACCAGACATGTCTGATTAGTCTCCTCCAACCTGTTCTCAGTCTATCTTTGTCTTTTTTATGACCTTAACATTTTTTAAGAGTTGTTTTGTAGAACGTATCTACACATTTTCCAGACACTCACAGAAAGTATATGATGTACCTATTACTGGTGATGTTAACTGCCCTGACCACTTGATTAAGAAACTGTCTCTACTGTAAAGCCACCATTTTCCCCTGTGTAGTTAAATACATTGGGGGAGATATTTTGTGCAAATATTCCATTTCTCCTCAATTTTTTACCTATTAATTTTAACATCTACTGATGGCTTTTTATTTATAACAATTATTGCTGTGATGTTCTAGTAGTGATATTTTATTTAATTGTATTCTTTTGTTAGAAAGAGATTTTCCTTCTCTACCATTTATTCAATTATTTATTTTTGCCAATATGGACTTGTGGACATTTTAATTTATTCTATAAAGTCCAACACTACTGTTATTTATTTTGTTACTCAAATTGTTCTAGTGTTTGGCCAATGGGAACACCTTCAAGTTGACTGTGCCATTTGACTTGTTCCCACCCCTTTTACTCATGTTATTTTTATTAATAGCTTTTAAATATTTGGAATAATTTTAGATTTACAGAAAAATTGCAGAGATAGTACACAGCATTCCTATATATCCTTCCCCCAGCTTCCCCGAATGCTAACAGCTTATGTAAACATAATACATTTGTCAAAACTAAAAAGCCAATATTGGTACATTATTACTAAATTCCGGACTTTATTTGAATTACACTAGTTTGTCCACTAAGGTCTTTCTTCCATCCCAGGATCCAATCCAGGATACTATGTTAACTGTTAACTTAGGCCCCCATCCTTTTTTAAGCACTTCATTACTTACCACAAAATGCTCTTGTCTCATCTTGTTTTTTCCCTTCCCAGCCCTGGCATCAATCACTTTTCTAAGGAGCCCCATCCACAGAGTTTTGAAAAAGTCCCAACATCCAGGCAGCACCCTAGAGCAACTCAGAATCCCTAGCTGTGAAGTTCCAGAATTTAGCTTTTAAAAAGTTCCCCAGGTGATTCCAAAGTGCATTTGAGATTGGGAACCACTGATCTAGACTTTACTTCTGGTTGCTAAAGAATAATTAAAATTTTATTAAATTCCCAAATGCCAAAGACTTTCGTGTACTTCCCAGAAGCTTTTAGGCTCCCTGAAGGCAAGTATTTAAAATCTCTCTAATCAGCACACATCCCAGAACCTGGTACATAAATGGTGTGAAATGAATGAAAGTTGAACAAGTAAACTAAGCTTTGGCTTCCTTAGGAAAATTAGCCTAGGTCTAACTCTTTTCCTAATCCCTCATTCGTCTTTAAATTAGAGCCTTTTTGCTGCTGAACACCTATTTCATAAAACCTTGAGTGAGTCAGTGCAAGGGAAGTAGCATCAAGGCTGCCCACCATAAAGCCCTGGGGCAACCTACCCAGGCAAAAATCTTTGCATCTCTTCTCTGAAGGACCCTCACTGTGTCTGATGTTCACTTCCTCATTTGGATCCTCTTTTGCCACCTTTCCCTCCAACAGCCTTTAAGGCAAATGCATTAGAAAAGGTAGCACCATCTTGTTTATTTCCTTTCCCTCGTCCCTCCTGCCTCCTTCTGGCTTGTTCCAATGTCTCAGCTTCTTCTGCAGAGAAGTATATAGGGCACAGGCTCTGGAGTAGACCAAACAATCGTCAAATCCAATCCCCCCACTTATTAGATATATGTACTTGGACACATAACTAAACCTCTCTTAGTCTCTGTCCCTAATATGTAAAATGGGGATCACACCTACCTTGCAGGATTCATGTGAGAAGTCAAGAGAACATTTTTGCTAACCTAAGGCACAATGTGTACTCAGAAATAGCAGTTGTGATTGTCATTATTATTACTATTGGTAGCAGAATCACCTTCCTGAATCACACACTATTATTTGGGAGGGACAGGACAAGGCAAATTTCTATGCAAGACAGCCACAACTCTACCCACCTGTCCAGTGATCTAGTAACTAATAGAAGTTCATTTAGAATTTGCAGAATTCATCACAGGCAACTACACAATCCAGAAGAAATGGTCAAAACTGCATAAAGGCAACCTCAGCTAAAGCAATTATCTACTGATACCACCATCTGTATAACCAACATAATAATAACTAACATTTGGGGGTGAGGAAATGTTGAAGTCTTCCAAGTGCTTTTGTTTGCATCATCTTATTTAACCCCTCACAACCTCAAGGTGGCTATTATCATCATTTCACAGGTAGGGAAACTGATGTTTGAGTCCTGAGCTAGTGAGTGATAGAGGCACTACTCACACACAGGTCGTTCTGGCTCTGACATCCTTGTGGTCTCACCACTGAGGTTTTTTTGGTGTGTGTGTGTGTGTATGTGTGTTTTCTATGTAAGTTTATAAGTGTCAGAAGTGCACACTCACCTCCAGATCTGTTTAAAACAGGAGTTTTCAAGAAAAGACTTAAAAGACTGGTGTCATTGAAGAAAATGTCAAGTCAAAAAATGCTGGGCTTTACTCTTCTCATTCAGCCTCATATCTTCTCCTTTCAGCTTAGTGGAGGAATGTTTTCTGGCTACATTTTTATTTCAACAACTAAGTAACCAACCAACGAACTAACCAAACAACCAGCATGTTTAGCCTGTGCTAGGGGATGTGGGGACACCAGCAAAGATACCTAGGCCCTGGCCCTCCAGGCCAGTGCTGGAAAAAGCAGTAACCCACCGAAGCTAAAGTACCTGGTGTCAAAGAAGAGTAAGGTCTCAGAAAGATGTAGAAGGAAAAGCTGAAGATGGTGCTTCTGATGGGAAATTATAAATAAAGGCCAGGAGGAGGAAATGAAGGTATAATATGCTGACTGTTAAGCCAGCAGCTGCTTGTAGTCCTTATTTGTTTTCAAGGAGTAATGAGAAATAGGGTTAAATATAGGATGGGGCCAGAATATGCTGGGTGATGAGACAAACAGCAGAATTTGGACACCATGTGCTGAACAACTGGGAGCTGTGACGGTTTTTAAGCTAGAAAAGAACACCATAAATTTGATGTTTAAGCCAGTTCTATATCTTTGCAAATTATCTTAGTACTGATTTGTTGCCTGATTTAAACTAACTAGAATAATTAAATTGCTCTGTGTAAAACACACATACACACACACAGAGAGAGAGAGAGAGAGAGAGAGAGAAAGTACTCCAGGCTCCCATCAACACTGCAAAGTGCCTAGTGTCTTGGAGTATCAAAATCAGAAATTTCTCTTAAACGTGGTTTGACATGAACAAACATCAAAGGCTAAGGAGTTGCAATTTTAAGACAATAAAGCAGGTAGGTACAAGCAACCAGGAGTGGAGCAGAGAAAATTATGTAATCTCACTGGCAGGGAAAATGTCCCAAACCAAATATTTTTTTAAATGCTATGGAGTACCTTTTCTTCAATGACCAGGAGAGAAATCCAATTTTTATAAGTCTTGTACCCAATATTAAGCTCACAAATTGTCTTTTTATTCATGTGCATTTTGCTAGAATCTTTGTTTTAATCTGTTCTTATAGTTAACATCTCCAAGACACACACAGAAGTCTAACAGTACTATATTGCACTCTTTAAAACCAGATGATCAGATAAATAACAAAGTGCACAGAGCTCTGCTTTCATTTATTTTGATGATTTCTTTCTAGATTGTTCTGTGGACATTAAGAAGAGAGATTTCCAAACAGAATGCAGGCCTTTTCTTTGGATGTAGAAATAGAAGTTTAGGAGATAAGAAATCTTTTATAAAACAGACATAAGATATTCTGTACAGATATTTCAACCCTCGGCCCTGGGAAAGTATTTTTTGCCTTCTTAACCTATAATCAAGGCCCAAACTATTGGATGTATTCTAATTCATACTTACCTGTGCGCAAACATGGAATCAATGCATAGACAAACCACACAAAAAGACTTGTCCAGACTTCTTCTAGAACCATCGTGAAAGTCTGCATTTGGTAGATTCAGTTTGACCTGGAACATTGTTTCTTTCCAGAATGAAGCATTCTGTCCATCTCAGCCGTCTTTCTTCAGAATGCAAATGTTGGAGCTGAGGTCTGAGTCTCAGTGAAGCTCAAATTGTTCTGGAACCAGCCCAGGAAGCTCAGAAAAGGCGGGCTTGGAAGCACCCTCCTTTCTGCCCAAACCCAGATATTGCATCATGGGGGAGTGGCCTAGGAGAGTTCCAGAGAAAAGGTAACTTTAGGGAGCTTGAGAATCTGCCTGTGAGCGATATCCAGCCACAGGCTCTGTCCTGGAGGACCCTGCACATCCCCAGAAGTCAGTGAGCAGGCAGGATTATCTCCTTCCCTCATTGAATGAATAGCTGTCCTCTTCCAAGTTTCTCTCTGTGAGTTCATTCAAGCTGGCTACTGACAAGCTCTTTTTTCTAATACATACTCACTTCAGAAAAAGCAGAGCTATTTGAAAAAATTTTAAATACCTTTCTAAAAGTACAGAGGTAAAGAAAAATACATAGCTTCATATGTGCATGCATTTGCAAAAAGAAAAGCTGAAAGAAGATATAAGAAATGAACAAGATTGGTTACCTTGAGTCAGAGAAAGTGGGAATTGGAAAGGTAGAAGAGAAAAATGGGAAGACTTTTGACCAAATATTTTTGTGTATCATTTGATTACTGAGTCATGTATTACTGAAAAATTAAAACTAATTTCAAGAGGTGGAAGAAAAACCTTATGATAGGATTTAGTCCCTTAAAATTTAGCCCTTGAAGGATTTTAACCACCCTAATGTGCAAATACAACAGTGGTATAAACATGGGTTCTAGAGTAAAATGTATTTTGGTTCAAGTTTCAGAACTTATAATGTAACCTTAGGAAAGTTAGTCATTTATTTATTCATTCAATAAACATTCACTGAAGGCCTACTAGGTGCTAGTTCTTGGGAATTCAAGTCCATTCTCTCAACAAGAACTTCCCAACTAGTGGAGAAGATGGACATGAGAATAATCATAAATCAATTTTTAAAATGAAGTGACAGCAATATTCATAAGAGAATAGAGGATCACTAAGAAACATCTAACCAGCCTGTAGGATCACAGAAAGCTTCCTGGAGGAGATGACTCCAGGACTCGGTATTAAACTGAAAAAAAAAAAAAAAATCAGTCAGGAATGTTGTTTTTAAGACACAACAAGAAGTTTGGTGCAACAGAACAAGATTAAAATGGCGAGAATTAGGGCTCAACAGCAGACAGAAACAGGATTCTACAGAGTTCTGAATGCCTTGTTGAGGAGCTTGGAATTTCTCCTGAGAGCAATGAAGGTCAAAGGAAGGGTTCAAAGCTCAAATACGGTCATGTCATTGCCTGCATTTGAGCTTTAAAAAGTTTGTGACTAGGGTGGAGAAAACAGCATGGGGATTGGGGGGGGCAGAGACTGAAGGCAGGAGGGCCATGAGGGAGTGATCTAGGTGAGACATTGCTGGCCTCCACTAGGTTTCTCATGTCTGTAGAGAGAAATGACCAAATTCAAAAGATAAAGAAGGTAGAACTGACAGCTCCTGAATATTGAGTGGATTAGGCAGGCTGGGGAGGAGGAGCCAAACATGACTTTCAGGTTCTGAGTTTGGGAAACTGGGTGAATGGCAGCACCTCAAGTGAAATAATGAAGTGGGTGGAGTGTGGTCAGGATGGGCAGGATTGGGAGTGCTGTAGAGAAAGGCAGCATATGTTCAGCTTGAGACATTTGAACTTAGATGCTTGTATGGGCAGGGGAGTCTCTAGTATGCAAATAATCTTTGTCTCAGGTTGATTGGTGTCAACTTTTTAGTTGTGTTTCTTTAGGCAAGTCATTTAAACTATCTGCCTTATGGTTCTCACCTGAAAATTAGAACCATTATAATAGTACCTGACTTAGGACTGTTGTGAAAAGCACACAATAAACATTTGCTATATATCTTTTTACCACATCATGGTCAAGAAAACTTGGTGCATATTCTCCTTGATCCCAGCACTGTTAAGTCAGTGGCCACATCTGTGCTTCGCCCCTGGTCACTAGCTGCTTGTACAGTCTCTCGGTGCTCCTCTTAAGAGTGCTTCATGGTCTCAACGTCTGTCCCAAATCTTACCTTTGTTCTCCACCTTGGCTTCCTGATTCCTCTCCTCTAAGTTCACTTCTGCTCACAGTTCCAGCATGTCGAAAGTTAACAATAAAAGCCAATGGGTGCTGGATATCTACTATCTGCCAGGAATTGTCCTAAAGGGTTTCTGCACTCTATGTACATGTCCATATATAATATGACAGACTTGCAATGTAAGATATGATTTGATTCTACACTTTTCAGGTGAGGACATTGGGCTCAGGGAAATAGAACTTACTGTAGATCACAGAGCTAGTCAGGGATGGAAACAGGAATTCCAAATGAGGTCTTTGAAACTCCAAGCTTTGTTCACTCACCTTAAGTGCCTCCCAGTCAACATCAAAGGAATGCTTCAAAGAGTCTGAAGGACACAGAGAAATGATCCAACAGATTAGCAAAGGCTTTAGGGAATAGGCAGACCTCAATATGGGGTTCCAAGGATGTACCAGTTAGATACGGGTAGGAAGGGAAGAGATGCACACCATTCAGCATTCCTTCTGATATGAGCAAGGATGAAAAGGTAGAGGGGCATATAGACTGAATTAGAGGATGAAAAGGAAAGTACAAGGAGAAAATGGAAAAAAAGAATAAGACTCATTTAGCTATGCTGTCGGGGAAGAAGAATTGTTCACCAAACTTTGAAGTGTTAAGATGGATAGTTAGCTCCACCTGTTCATGGGTCCCTGTCAATTTACTCCTGTCCAGCACTGCCATGCTCTGGTTAGACAGTACTGCCTGCCAATCCTTCATAAGCCATCGTACAGAGTCTGCCCTGGGTTCAGCACACCTCACCTCAAGGGGTGCTGAGAGATAATGCCATCTGCCTGTCATAGTTTTTGAACAATAATCCTTTTCAAGCCTGGGTCATGACCCAGTAAGTAACTCAGACCACCCACCTCTGCCTGGGCTGTAACATTGGGTAAGGACTTCTGGAGGGCTGTACCTCACCTGCTAGCCCGTAACATTCCCGGACAATCCCTGACCCTGATTGTCCCTTTCTCTTCTGGCTTTGAGGTGCTCTTCTAAAGAAAGAGAAGTTATGTCTTGTCTGTGCAACATGCCAAAACCAAACTAATCTCTATCCTGTTTACTGCACTTTTCAGGTTAATTTGTGGTGCTTTCCACAGAGTTGGAGGATCATCCATGTCAGAAGATAAACCGCTGGAAGAATAGACTTATTTCCTATAAGCAGGTACAGTTCAGAAATAGGATTCTTTTTCCTCTATTACACTATTTGACACTTAAATCTCCAACATTGGCCGGGCGCGGTGGCTCACGCCTATAATCCCAGCACTTTGGGAGGCCAAGGCGGGTGGATCACGAGGTCAAGAGATGGAGACCATCCTGGTCAACAAGGTGAAACCCCGTCTCTACTAAAAATACAAAAATTAGCTGGGCATGGTAGTGCGCGCCTGTAGTCCCAGCTACTTGGGAGGCTGAGGCAGGAGAATTGCTTGAACCCAGGATGCAGAGGTTGCGGTGAGCCGAGATCACGCCATTGCACTCCAGCCTGGGTAACAAGTGCGAAACTCCATTTCAAAAAAAAAAGAAAAAAATAAAATCTCTGATATTTAATTATGGAAGGAAAAGCAAGCAGAGAAAAGGTTTTTATGAAAAGGTAGAGGCAATGGGGAGGGATGGAAAGTTTTGTGGCCAAAGAAGAGACCCCTAAGCTCTCTGTGCCCTGCAGGGCCAGGACTAAAATTAAGGGAAGCACCTAGGGTGCAAAATCTGAGGCACTCACTTTTAGGGTTGTGCAAGTCCAGGATAGGCCCTGTGTCCTGGAATGAACTATGTGGTCAACTACTACATTCCAGTAACCTTCCTTTCCCCTACCTAACACAGAATAGTGTGTGCATTAAGATTCTTAAATAGCTTTGTTCTATGTTTTAGCACTTGTGACATTTAGTTGAAGCTGTCTCAATTTTTTCTTTCCAGAAGTAACACAGGGAATTTAAATAGCAGAATTCCTCTTGTCTTAGACTTCTAATTCATGCTTCCACCAACTCTGTTCCAGGTGAAATTTCTACACACTTTTAGACTCTAATTTTCAGGGCTCCTGCATTCCTTTTTCACTTCTAAACACTTCAGTTTTTCAATTTCCTCCCCCAAATGTTTATTGTCTGGTTATCAGGAATTTAACCTTCAGGGTGTTTCCTTACGGTGTGATCAATTAGAACTCTTAAGTTGGCCAAACTATCCTCTTTCTGTAATTATTTTTTTCTATTTGACATTCCCCCAAAAAACTCCTTTTAAGATGGAGAATCAGGGTTTATTCAGAATAGGCTTCTGTAATTAAATGTTCCACATTTCAATAAAACAAATACCATTTTAGGCAAATTTAAAATCTGAAAACCAGAAACAAAGCTCTGTAACGGTGACACTCTACATAATTTTCAAATGATTTTGGTTGCTGTATTTTACTCAGTCACTGGTTGCCCCTAGTCATCAGTGATTCTATTAAGTGGAGCACACAGTATACTCAAAGGTCAATTTTATCAGAGGCCTCTTTTTATTGTCCTATGTTAATTAACACCCTCACCCTCACTCTTCAACCCTCAACCTGCTCTATTTTAATATTTTAATTCAGAGTTCTTATCCGTTAGGTATTACATCACTAAAATACAAATTTTATGAAATTTATGAAAACTTTCTCCATTTTCTTTTCCATTACTAAACAGTCTCAGCTCAGCAACAAAATATGTGATGAGGCGAGTTGTATAAATTGATATGAGTATGTCCAAAAACTATCTAAACATACAAACATATACAGAGATGTAACAGTTAAAAAAAATTTCAACTTTACATTGTCATATGCCCTGATGAATTTGTTCTCTATAACATCCCCTTGTCTATTAAGTCTACAAAACATCAAGTTTTACATTACTTCTCCAAGAGAAACCATCCTTATTCAAGGATTACTAATTTTCCTTCATAAGTACTCAAAAAATATCAATTTAATAACCATTCCTGTGTTTAGCCTAAAATAGACAACCCAACAGTCCCATTCTGGAATTCATCTTTTCGTCTCAATAATTTCACGAAGACGATCTATCTGAAAAGTTTCTTCATAGTCTAAGACATAAATTATCTGAGCACAGAAATTTATTCAAAGCAACTACCTCAGAAATCTAATTTAACCTATCAGAAAACACTCAAAGACACTAATTTAAAACATTTCCCTCTGTGAACACGGTGGCTGATAGCTGAAACTCCTCCTCTGTTCAAAACCCCACCAAGTCCAACTTAGGTTCTACTCATTAAGTCTCAGCAAATTGTTGTATACTTTCAGATAAAAGGTGCACCTCATTAGTAAACTAGAAATAAACATTTCAGTTCCTAAATTATTTGGTTTAGATCATGTAACAGCAAGAAATTAGGGTGTGGGGAATATGTATCAAACTGGTCTGTCAAGTGTTTAAAAGATAGCAGAGAATTGAGTCACAAAAACTTGCAAAACACTAACAGAACCAGCCTAACAGAACTGAGTGCAAGCCAATGCTTCTAATAATGTGTTTCTCCAGAAACAGTAATTTGGCATTCTTTTAAAAAAGGGTGGGGTTCAAAGCATAAAATTAAGATAGTAGCATCTATCCTACATCAAATGTCCTTTAAGAAAAAAGTGACCTTGATCGTGAAGCCATTTGGAAAGTTAAAAGATCTATATAAATGCAAGATTATAAAGGACCCCTTAAGATCTTCTAGTAAAATACTAAAATGGAAAACTTAGAGAGTACTGTAATGCCACACTCCTAATTTATTGATTTGGACAATGTAACTGAGTATTTCTGAAAAAATGATTTCCAGATTCCAAACCCAAAACTTTCCATGTTTCAGGAAAAATAGGGCAGTAAACTGCATCTGGAGATCTCAACTAGGGGGATTAGGGTTCTTGTCACACCCAACCAAATCCGAGTTAATGGGCTGGGGGTAAACGCACTCAGAGGACATAGCAGCTGCTCCAGGAACTTAGTTTTCCACAAGTCCGGCTACTGAAAGAGCCTGCTGTAAACCCTAAGACCAGTTTTACCTAGTAGCTGCTGTGGCTCTAAGACTGGTTTTACCTACCATTGTCACATGCCAATCAGAGCTTGCCAATTCCCAAAAACTTCTCTAGAGCCAATGAGTTCTCTTTCAAAACAGACATAACATTTCTCTTTATAATAAAACTCCCAATCTTCTCTGTTCTTTGGATATACTAAAAACTACTCATTCTGTGTATATGACCTGAATTGCAATTCTTGCTTCCCAAATAAAACGTTTTAGAGATTCATCTCTATATTTTTACTTCAAAGGAGGAGATTTTATTATACTATTTGAATTTTTCACCAAGTACACCGGTAAAAATAAGGGGGCCATATTCTACAAGAATAACCTTATTCTAACAACCCAAGTTGCTCATCTGCTAGGCCTTTTAATTATTCTAGCAATGGCAATAGATGGCATTAAGCCTTCCTATTTTGTTTAGCGATATTGTCTCTACTAGTGCAAGGTGCATGTGTTGACTGTATAGTGATATATGTGTAATATACATGTGTGAATATATATTCAGCTAAATCCTAAGGATTTATGACTAAATAAGGGACACAATGGCAAATGTTTTTGTTATAAAGCTTATATAATGTTCTAAAAAACCTTCTTCCAAGATTTTGGAGAAGTTATTTGTAGAAGTGGGTTAGGCAGGGTTACATCTGTTACGTGTATTTAAATTTGCAACTAAGCATAATCCTCATGTGGAAGAAAACTTCGGTAATATTGCTCTTCCCAGGACCCTCCTCCTAGTCTAAAACCAAGCATACATAGGGTAGTGTGTCATGATATAGACACCAGGCTGGGAATCAGGAAACTTGGTTTCTAATACAAGTATTATTATTACTATCTACCTATTTAAGATGTTTTCTATGGTTGTTTCAGTTCTTAAAATTACTTCAAGCATTATAAAAAGTCATTGGTGTAAGCACTGATTTAAGACTTTTTAAAAATTGGTAAAATGTTTAAATAGAAAATAAGCGCCCAGGGAGGTTTTTATACCATGATAAGAGCACACAATATATATTACTGGTACATGTGGGTTATCTGGGAGCTCTATAGCTACAATAAACCTAATTATGGAACAGAAATATGCATTCTGTTTCCAGTGCTACTACATTCCTACTTTCTCAAAAGTCTGCTCTATTAATATCAGCTCAGTGGAGTTTACTATAAATAGTTCATGCCTGTGATGCAAAGCATTAATTGTTCTCTTTTTACAAACATATATTTTTTTCATAAGACTGGGAAAAACCCAGAAACGTAACAGCGAATAAAAGGAAAGCACCATCAAATATATGTTAAAAATTAAGATGATGTTTACTAACTAGTCATCCTACAGCCATTTAAACAGTTTTCCTCAATTTATATTCATTTGATTTTACGGCAAAGAGAAGATAAAGTTTTTCATTTTCATGAAAAACTTATCTACTAATAATTACCCTTAATAAACAAAGGAGTACTGATCTAGAAAAATTACGGAATATGAACTAAAATGTTTTAAAAGCAGATGCAATCGAGATGCAAATTTGTCTTAATTATATTTGTTCACTTCTGTTTCCATGAGAGAAGCCATGGCTGCCACCCAGTGGCAACGTAAGTCTTTAAATGATTTTAAGATTTAAATAATATTTAACACATTGATGAAAAAAATTTACAAGTTACACAATTTTACCATCAGTAATTCTGGTGTATTAGATATCTGTTTATAACCAGCAAATAATTAAAGCATCCATATGCTTAGGCAGCATTAAGGAATTTGTTGAAAGTATCATGACATCCTCCCCTGTTATGTGGCTTTAGTATTTTTCAATTAAAATACTGATGGTTACTTTGCTTAAACTTAAGTCTCCAGAATAATAGGGGCACAAATTAGTACCATAAAATGCAACTTGTTTTCTTCTATGGCCTGTTACAGAAGTAGATTAGCCTCTCATCCATACACCCAAATTCCTACTTGTTAAAAAAAAAATTAAAAATAACGTAATTTTCCCTAACCATGAGCACATTTTATTTTTTCCTCAGGTATACATCAGTTTTAGTGTCCAGATCAACAAAACTCAAAGCTGAAGAGGAAATGAAAATAGGTAATACTATTCCTGACACTTACTGATATTTAGTGAGGAGAAAAAAACCACACATCTCACTGCTTCCTATTTTTGCAAAACTTGGCAGTAACTTATTTCACACTGGCATAAATATAACATGTCCTAATACAAGATGCTTTGCTAAAATAATACAAGAGGGATAAAGAAAAAAAATAACACTAGAGCATCTATTTACAGTTTGAAAAGCTAGACCAGGCGTGGTGGCTCACGCCTGTAATCACAGCACCTTTGGGAGGCTGAGGGGCAAATCATGAGGTCACGGTATCAAGAGCATCCTGGCCAACATGGTGAAACCTCATCCCTACCAAAAATACAAAAATTAGCTGGGTGTGGTGGCACACACCAGTAATCCCAGCTACTCAGGAAGCTGAGGCAGGAGAATTGCTTGAACCCGGGATTCAGTGAGCAAAGATGGCGCCACTGCACTCCAGCCTGGCAACAGAGCAAGACTCTGTCTCAAAAAAAAAAAAGAAAAGAAAGAAAAGCAAAATATCTCAGAGACTGTTTTGTTTTCTCGAATAACCAGATGAGGGAGAAGCACTGGAAAAAAAAATGAAGAATTTAGTGATTTTTGTTTCCAACAATTGTAAATTAAAATTGTACAACATGTTTTCTAACCTATGTCTCATGTGTCTTGCTGTATGACTGAAAACAATGAATTTTTAAAAATCATAGCAGACACAATATATTTGGTTACAATGGCCTGTGACAAATATAATACCTGGAAATAATTTCTAATTTTCCATTTATTATTGCTATTTAGTCACAGAAAAGATTAACACTCTCTAAGAAGTTTATTTTAGCATATGTCATATATAGATATAATAATTTTATATAAAGAGAGACCATAACAGAACTAACAGGGTGCCTTTACAAGAAAATAAAGCAAAGGCAATATAGGATTTCTTCCATATAAAGATTCTGATCTGCATTATTTGATTTTTTTTTTTTTCAAAATACAAAACAGTAATATTAGAAGCAAAGCAAAAACAGCAAAGAAGAAAACAATAAAACAGAAGACCAAGGGTAAGGAACTGTTTTATGCTGATGCACTGCATACATAGTATATATGTATGGGCTGAGTTATAATAAAAATATTATTATAGTTATCCTCATATAGAGTTAGAAACAGCAATTTCCAATCAAGCACAACTGGACCCAACATTTTCTCAGTCTTCAATTACACGTTAAATTACAGCTATGTAGCAGTCACTTCTGGTCAGCAGTATCATGATAAATGCTTGACAAGATATAATTTTTCTCCTTGTTCACTTGTAAAAATTGGCGCCTTTTTGTAATGTTCTACAAGTTCTTCCATGGTGCTGAATTTGCGCTGCCCAATGCAGTAGACAGTTTCTTTTAGTTGGACTTTAAAATGCTTGTTTTTCCCTTGTGCTTTTAGTGATACAGAGAAATCATTTGGCTAAAAGAGAAAAAAAAATACATATAGTAAACATCTGAAAGCCATCTATCAGTATTTTTATATTAAACTAAAAGCTAAAACTTAAGCACTTACTAAGTTCTAGGCACCATGATAAATTATTTAATAGATTTTCTCCTTCACTCCTCAAAATAAACTCTTTTTACAGATGAGAAAACTGAGTCTCAGAGAAGCTATTAATAACTTGGCCAATATCATCCATCTAGTTAACAACAGAGCCAGGATTCAAACCAGCATAATCTAAAGTCTCTTCACTCATAGCTCTACCAGCAGACACTCACAGCAAATCCTCCTTTTTAAATATTTGAAGAACAAGAGCTATCTTCTCTCCAGACTACTGGAGAAACACATGAGAAAGTCTAAGATATCCACCCAACCCCTTTTCAATGTATAGCTAACAGTATCTGTCTTCAGGATAATAGGCTGATTTCTCAACAATGAGGAACAAACAAATAAGAATGAATCTAAACTTTAAGGAGAGGCCACAAACTCAAATGCCTACAAGAAAAGCCAAAAGAATAATGTATTTTTTTTTTCTCCACAATCTAAAGGAAGTGGTGACTTCTCAGCTGTGATTGTTGCCTTGAAGGAACAGGATCTCAATGTTGGTAGTTCTTCCAATTTTAAATGGTCTAAAGTCTAAATTTTTATAATAAATAAGTCTAAAGCCTGAATTTTTATAATAAATATCCTAATATTTAAATATTAGCAGTGAATTTAAATGTTTAAAAGACATTGTGAAGGCTAAGCAAAATATGCCTACTTGAGAACTCTAACCTTAAAAAGTATACAGCTACAAATAATCGTATATATTGTATTTTGTCTAATATCTATGCTCAATTACCCACAAGCAAATACACACAATTATGCATTCAAGCTATTTTCTTTTTAATTAGGTATTTGCTTTTTGTTAGAGTCTATATCAATCCCCAAAGCCTCTTTTTCTACAATTACTCCCAAAGTTTCAAACAGTGAGCCAGATCAAACATCTAACAGAAAACGGATGTCATCACTGTTCCTTACTACCAACCAACTGCTTAGTTGTACAGGCCCCATTTTTCTGAAATTTACATCAGGAAGTTGAATTAATCTCTCTCCCCACCACACCCCACCTCCACACATTTTCTTTCTTTCAACATTTTGTGCAATTACACATTCACTTTTGTACAAATATACTCACACAAAGCCAAGATTAATAATGATTTAATACATGGAAAAGTAGTGTTATCTTTTATCAAGGAAAAAGGCCATTTTTAAGGAAAATGAGTGTCATCAAATTCTAACAGCCTACACAGTATCTAAAAGAGACCGTATTATTTTTCAACTTTTATGGTTTTATAGTTTACTAGTATTGCAATATAATGACTCTTTTGCGACTCAACACAAATGCATTTCAAACACTGTTAAAATAGGTTTTTGAGGTTATTATAGAAGTGTATTCCAGCCTGGCGCAGTGGCTCACACCTGTAATACCAGCATTTTGGGAGGCTGAGGCGGGTGGATCACAAGGTCAGGGGTTCGAGACCAGCCTGACCAATTTGGTGAGACCCCATGTCTACTAAAAATATAAACATTAGCCAGGTGTGGTGGCATGTGCCTGTAATCCCAGCTACTCAGGAGGCTGAGGCAGAAGAATCCTTGAACCTGGGAGGCAGAAGTTGTAATGAGTCAAGATTGTGCCATTGCACTCCAAATAATAATAATAATAATAATAATAAAATAAAGGTGTATTCCAACTTCCAAGTAACCAATTTATGAAGAAACTTAGTATCAATTTTTCTTAATTTAGGGATTTCCTATGTCATAAGGACTACAGTGACTATCTTCTTACACACTGCATCCAATAGCAATTTTTTAATGTTTCCCAATTTAATCTACAGTATTATTCTATTCTCAATGAAGAAGCCAATGTTCCATTTTGTCCATTTAGTTTAATGCAACAGAAAATATCTCAGGAATGCAAAATCAACAGAACTAGACAAGACCAAATAATCCAGTGTGTAACTCACTGCCACAGCTCTCTCTTATTCAAAATACATAGCTAGAAAGAATGCTAACTTTAACTTTGAAAGATTTATGCTTATGTTATGTCCCAGCTTGTTACCTGGTTAACTTTAGGGAAGTCACTGAACCTCTCCATTTCTCTTTCTTTAAATACCCAGAGCTCTATTTGTATTTGCCTCTGAAAATCAACTTACCGAAGATTCGCTATCACGAATGAGGAAATCCCCTTCATGTCCTCTTTCATTTAATGCCATTTCTGCTTGATGCCTAGTGACTTTGCCATAATACCAAGGATTGCCAGCAAACTTTCCAGTGAGTGAAGGCCTAATGTAATCACACTGTGGAGGTGATGGTTCCAAACCTGAGGTTAATGGATTATTCTGCATAATGGTAACATAGTTTTTTGGTACTAGACCAACCATACCATTGATCTTCCTGCATTTCCACCACTCTGGGTCATTTTCAGGTTTTTCAATAACATCCATTATATCTCCTTTCTCGAAATTAAGTTCTTCATCGTTAGATGAGCTGAATGGGTAAAGAGCCTGTACCACATGCAACACTTGCCCAGTATTCAGGTTATTGACGACTGCTGCTAATTTCTCTGACAGAGAACCCACATGGTCACCCAAAGGACTGTCACTTTCTTCAGTTACATAGTTTGAAGGGAACCATCCAATTTGTCCATTGTAGCTACCACGCCACCACCCATCACTGCATTTCTCCATGACGATCACCTTTGTACCCTTTATCAATGATAATTCATCCTCTCTTTCAGCCATGTAGTTAAATTTCACATAAGCGGGCATGTTGAGGTCATAGAGACGTTCCCCTGGGTCAACAAAACTATCATCAGCAGGAGATGCAGAATCTGGCACACTAGGTTTTCTTTTCACTTTTCCAATGCCTGTTTAAATCAAAAAGTACCATGAGAAGAGAATATAAAACAATGATTACAAAAAAAACACAATTTATTCATAATTACAAAGGAATTTTCAACTCCATATAGACTTTTAAAACTTTTAAACATAACAAATTTCTATGTGGTTAAATCATCTTTTTGGAAATGAGGTACAAATACTCTTTTTCTTAAATAAATAACTATTTAATTTCAGTCATTATGACAGTTCACCTTATATTTTCTCGTCAAAGGCCCTGAAATAACTATATAACAATTATAAAGTTGTCCTAAATAAATGAATTCTCTCTTAAATGTAAATATAGATTATTTCTCTCATAGCCACAATCTAAGCACACAAAGGCTCCAACATACTCACACTCATACTCTTCTTGTCTTAGTTTAAGCAAGCTATATTTTACAATGAGCTGTATAGAAATAAAATTATTTCTATCTTAAATTGGAATATGATATGCAATATAAAATTGCAGTTATGTCTGGCTAATCTTCCCATTTACTTTCTTGGTTCCCAGACCCAGGTAGTTTTATTTACCTCATATGTTTATTTAAAAATATTATTTACTTGTTTCTCTCCCCTTACCCTAGTCACATGTAACCTCCGCAAGGGCAGGGATTTTTGTTTTGTTTACAGATAAAATCCCAAGGATCTCATACAGTGCTTAGTACACAGTAAATGCTTAATACTATGTGTTGAAAGAAATTACAAAATCACCAAATGGTATTATCAACACAAATATATGTTATATCAACTTCTGTCAGGCATTTTCACTGCTGCCCATGTCTTTGATTTTATGTTCTACTTTACCTAGAAATCTGAGGCTTCCCTAGGTAAAACTTCTCAAATTCCTTTTGTGCCAAAACTCTCATTATCCTCACTCTCTTTCTTCACTCAAGTCTCCAAATCCTGATTTTTCTAGGATCTTAATACTATCTTTCGTGACTCTTTTGGGACTCAACATCTTTGTTTTCCTTCCTATTCAGCCCCTTCAATTGTCTAAAAACACACTCCGATCTTTTCTACTCCGAAATGAAGTTACTTTAACTCTGCTCCAACTTTTAAACTATAACATTTTGGTAATTTATTTTTTCTCTAATTGGTCCAATTTTCCCATAGAATAAACTACACCACTCTTTTAACAGTTGTCTTTCTCTTTTCCCTCAACTTTTTCACCATTCACACTCCTAACTCTTTATAATCTGATCCTTTGTCTGCAGTATTCTATCAAAACTACTCAATTAAAACCAAAATCATTCTTATGTCATCTCTCCTTATGACCCAATCAGTAACTTTTAGAGTCCTCAGCCTTTTCAAACTCTCTATGCAGCAACCAAGATTACAACCCACTCTCTCCATTATGTTTTCTCCTTTGACTTCCCTAAATTTATTATTTTCTTTTCTGAACTGTTTACATATTCTTGTTTGCCTCTGTCTGGACTCTCTAACCTTGTTATTATGGCATTGCATTGTGCTTCTTTACTTATCTTCCTTAATATAAGTATAAATGAACTTCCTGAGGGCAGAAAACTAGATCTTATTCCTTTCTATCTCCAATAGTAGCACATACATCAGTAATAGGAACAAAGGAATGTTTACTGAATGAATAAATGAATAAATCCTTAGTTGAAAGTGTTTTGCAAGATGCCATACTTGACCTTCTTCTCTATTCCAAGAAAATCATACACTTTCATTTTCTCTAATTTCTGTGCAGAAGGTTCCCAGATCTGTTTGCAGCTCTAACACCTTTCTGGAATTCACACGCTACAATTCCCAGTGTCACTAGACACCCACAGATTGTGCCATCAGTACCTCAAACCCAACACTCATATCCAAATAAAAAGAATACACTCTATACCAATAAATCAACTTCTTCCTTCCTAATTTTCTTACTTTTGGTTAATCTGAGAAACCTTCTGAGAAATCCCTACATTTGGGATGATACCACCAAAAATGGCATAGTAGGGAACCAAGGCACTGTCCCTGCAAAAAGCAATTAATGCAATTAATGAGCTGGTAAATACTGTCAGACTCAACTTTTGCAGAACTCTGGAATCTAGAAATAAATAAATAAAATCTAGGGCAAGGCTTATTGAATAAGTTGCTGCTTTGTAGTAAACAGAGTGCTATAGCATCCTAAATTGCCTGCCCACTATTTCCCACACCCCAAGTCAGTGATAGCTATGTGGATAGTAACCTGCACTCCTAATGCCAGAGGAAGCAATACACATCTTAAACAACTGTGATTTTAGTTTCAACTTGTCTGGCAGCTCCCTACGGACCTGAGCAATGGCTTGCCTTGGCTTTGCCTGACTTGGATCATTCCCAGGGGATAGGGAGTCTTCCTGGGTGGTTTTTGCCAAAATTATTTAATTGATGCAGCAGTCCGGGGCAAGGGATAACAACTGGGACAAGGATCAGGCAGATGGAAAAGCCTGGACAGAAAGGGGATGGGAAAATATATACATGGGGTATATATGGGGTAATAAGGGATGCGTCTACCAATCAAGAAGGATGTGCACATGGCCAGGGCTGGACACAAATTCAGGAGAGGCCCAAGAAAGGCCCAAGAAGACCTAAGCTTTCACCCTGACTGATCTTCAGACTTTGAGCAAACAATAAGCAAAGGCTAAGGCAGAATTATAAATGGCTTCACTAAGTGGTCAAAGAGTACTTTGACCATAAAGCCATAAAGCCATCTTCAAAGATGGGAGAGGTTTTTTTGTTGTTGTTGTTGATTCCAAGTGTTTAAGGAAACTCTGTCAAAACACTAGCTAGCTGATTACTAAGCAAATGGAACAGACTTCAGTGGCCATACATGACCAGGAATTACAGACCTTACAAAAATAGTTTAGAAAAGTCACTAAACAAGCAAACAGTAACCACTCACAATAAGCAGCAATAAGCTCTGGGGAGGGGATAGAATCTGATGCTAAAAAAAAAAAAAAGAGCCAATCAAGAATTCCACATTTAGCAAAACTGCCCTTCAAAAATGAAGGAAAACTTAAGACATTCCCAGATAAACAAAAAGTAAAGGATCTCATCGCTACTAGACCTGTGCTATACAGACCTTACAAAAATAGTTTAGAAAAGTCACTAAACAAGCAAACAATAACCACTCACAATAAGCAGCAATAAGCTCTGGGGAGGGGATAGAATCTGATGCTGAAAAAAAAAAAAAAAAAAAGACAAGAATTCCACATTTAGCAAAACTGCCCTTCAAAAATGAAGGAAAACTTAAGACATTCCCAGATAAACAAAAAGTAAAGGATCTCATCGCTACTAGACCTGTGCTATAAGAAATGCTAAAGAGAATCCTCCAAGCTAAAAAGAAAAAACACTGGACAGTAATCTGAAGTCATATGAAGAAATAAAGAGCAATGTAAAGGTAGCTACATAGATAAATATAAAAGTCCATAGTATTACAGTTTTTGTTTGTAAGTTCGCCTTTTCTTTCCTACATAATTTAAAATACAAATGCATAAAGCAAAAATGTCAATTCTAGGTTAATGGGCATATATTTTAATATGCAGAGATGTAATATACAAAGATGGAGCTGCAAATGAGCTGAGTTATGCATACTACTGAAATTAAGTTGGTATTAATTCAAACATGATTGTTAAAAACCTAAGATGTTGTGCTGGGCATACTGGCTCACACCTGTCATCTCAGCACTTTGGGAGACCAAAGCGGGTGGATCACAAGATCAGGAGATCAAGACCATCCCAGCTAACATGGTGAAACCCTGTCTCTACTAAAAACACAAAAAATTAGCCAGGCGTGGTGGCAGGTGCCTGTAATCCCAGCTACTCGGGAGGCTGAGGCAGGAGAATCCCTTGAACTTGGGAGGCAGAAATTTCAGTGAGCCGAGATCATGCCACTGCACTCCAGCCTGGGCAACAAGAGCGAGACTCTATCTCAAAATTAAAAAAAAAAAAAAACCTAAGATGTTAATTGTAATCCTCAGGGTAACCACTAAGAAAAAACAAACAAACAAAATACAGAAAGAGAAACGAGAAGGGTAATAAAACAATATATCAGAAAAAATAGGCCAAGCACAGTGGCTCACACCTGTAATCCCAGCACTTTGGGAGGTCAAGGTGGCCGGATCATTTGAGGTCAGAATTTTGAGATCAGCCTGGCCAACATGGTGAGACCTCATGTCTACCAAAAAATTAGCCAGGCATGGTGGCATGAGCCTGTAGTCTCAGCTACTCGAGAAACTGAGGCACAAGCATTGCTTGAACCTGGGAGGCAGAAACTGCAGTGAGCAGAGATTGCACCACTGCACTCCAGCCTGGGTGACAGTAAGACCCTATCTCAAAAAAAAAAAAATGGGGCCGGGCACAGTGGCTCAAGCCTGTAATCTCAGCACTTTGGGAGGCCGAGGCGGGTGAATCACAAGGTCAAGAGATCAAGACCATCCTGGTCAGCATGGTGAAACCCCGTCTCTACTAAAAATACAAAAAATTAGCTAGGCATGGTGGTGCATGCCTGTAATCCCAGCTACTCAGGAGGCTGAGGCAGGAGAATTGCCTGAACCCAGGAGGCGGAGGTTGCAGTGAGCAAAGATCGCGCCATTGCACTCTAGCCTGGGTAACGAGCGAAACTCCATCTCAAAAAAAAAACAGAAAAATAAATCACAAATGAAGACAGTAATAGAAGAATTGAGAGAAAAAAGGAAAACAGCAAAATAGCAGAAATCCTTATCAGATATTACTTTAAATGTTAATGGATTAAAAATAACATGATCCAACTCTGTTATCTGCAAGAGACTCACTTTAGATCCAAAGATGCAAATAGGTTTGTAAATGAAAGGATAGAAGAAGATATCCCATGTAAAAGATAACCAAGAAAGTAGGGGTGGCCATATATCACACAACACAGGCTGGGTGCGGTGGCTCATGCCTGTAATCCCAGCACTTTAGGAAGCCAAAGCAGGTGGACAACTTGAGGTTAAGAGTTCAAGATCAGCCTGACCAACATGGTGAAA